TCGAGCCTGCCCATGCTAAAACCTGCCAGGGCCCCTGCTGCCCCATCCCTAGGGTGGGGGTGAGCCTTCCCACTCTCTCCTTTTTGCTCCAGGGGGCATATTGCATTTCACCACAGAGCGCTGAAGGGCCCATTTGTGAATATCCAGCACAGAATTCCACCTATTCATTCTTGCACTGGTAGTGTCTCTGCTAACAGTCCTTGTCAGGGCAGCCTCAGCCACAGTTTTGCAAGACAAAACAGCTCAGCCTCCCTCTGTCCTTCCAGTCACCTCCCAAGAAAGGAGCCACTGGGCACTCAGATTCATGCCAGGATGGGAGGGACAGCAGTTTCCTCTCCTTAGTCCCAGGGAAGCAGCTCAAACAAGCTGAACCCCAGTGAGCAGCAGCTCTTCCTGGGCAAGCACTCCTTCCCTGGCACATTTTCCCATGGGAGACAAGCACAGGGACCTTAAAATAAATCTGTCTTTTTAAAGCAAAGATGCTAAATGAAGGTTTGAGATCAAAGGCTGGGATTCTCACATTTTGCCAAGATAGACATATCCATTCACGAGATTTTTGGTGTAACAAAATACTTGCTAATGAAGAGGATCATAATCTTATTATTAGCCTGAACTACCACAGTATGTCATTCAAGAGCGGGTTGGAATATGTCCTAGTTTAGGAAGTTGCACAGTGGGTTTTGCTTTTGATTTAATGAGCTGTGATTGTGTTTATTTTCAGCAGCAACTATGCCCGTTAAATTTTGGTTGAAGGTCTGATCGTTAACGACAGTAATCGACGGAAAGGATGAATTTAGGTTGAAGGGGAGGAAAATGGGAATTGTATGTCTCTGGGATTCAGTCAACACAGTTTGCTGGGATTCAGCAAACACAAGGTGGTCAGGAGAGCCTGAGCTTTCTCTGCTTTTGCAGTGCCTGATGATGGGGTTTTAACTACTGGTTAACTCACTTGAGGGGATTCAGACATGGAAAAACAAAGATTTTTGATGTTATGGAGTGGGGCACAGAGGAGAGTCAGATGTAGGCAATCAACAGTGGGGGTCAGATTTTCCTTTTGTGGGATGAGCCATGGTGGGACAAGGTCATCAGCTGGCTTCCACTATCAAGAATCCCAGAAATTCTAAGATGGCTGGGGAAATGTGTCAGTAGTGTGTAACAACTGAACAACCTGCCAGATGAGCAAAATGGAGAAGAAAGGGGAAGATAAATATCAATAGAGACACATACGTAAAAAAAGAACATTGCTGCAGCAGAGCTGGTTGGTGTGGGCTCTGCTCTGGAGTGAGAAGGGGCCCCGTGCAGCAGGGTTTCCCCAGATGAACCCTCCCCACTGCTGCCTGCCTGGGCAGCTGGAGCTGGCACAACGGGCAAGAAGGGCAGGGCAGGATGGGGCACAACTCAGACCCACCCCCCATCACACTCCTTTTGCAGCTGGTGTCTGTGTCTCGGTTTCCAGCCTTACAAAGGATGCTGTGCTTTGTGTTTGACTCCATCAGCCCCAAAGGAGTCCAGCACAGTTTATTTTCCAGCATCAAAGTGTGCACACACAGGCATGTGTATGTATGTACAGGCAGGACATCCATAAGGGGTGTGAAGGAAACACAGACATGGACAGACACATAGCCAGCTGTAGCCTTTAAAAGCTTGCCATGTACAATATTAGAATGGTTGTGCCCAGCCTGGACACGGAGCTCAGCCAGAGGCTGTTGGCTTGTGCCAGTCAGCGAGGTGTTTTACGGAGCAGTCGCCGACCTGCAGTTTGTCAGCTCCAGCGCCTGTAAATTCCTGTGGCAAGTGTAAAAAATCAGTCAACACGTTGTTCGATTTTAAAAGCTGGTGTTTTTTTACGACGGCCGTCTGTCTGACGGGGCGCCCCTCTTCTCGCCGCGGGGTGCGGGGTGCGGGTCCCCTACATCCCCGACCCCCTC